AAGCATTATGGGGTAGGCCGTGGAATGCCCAGGAATTGTATGTGGATAAAGCACACCCAGGACTGAGAACAGGCAAAGAAATTCAGTGGAGAAAGAAAAAGAAAGTCAGTACTTAAGACTCTACTAGCATTTTCAATTAGAGACATTGACATTCCAATGGCTGCTCTAGACCCTAAAGATGCAGTGGGAAAGCGACAGCAATGTCTATCTTGGGATGCTGATATGATGGGTGCTGAGTACTAAAAAGAAAAGTCAAACAGGATAGCATGACAGAACACCATGGAAGGATAGGGATTCTTTTCATGGTTGATTTGTAAAGGATCCTGTAGAGTCCTAAAGGGAGAAGAACCAATTTTGAGAAGATCTAGAAGATGGAAGATCAAGTATGAGGCTACAGAGGCAGAAAGAAGCTTGGTGTGGATGAGGAATCAAAGAGACTGGAAGCCTGGGGTGGAGAGAAGTAGGCTGTAAAAAAGTCAGCAGGGTCAGAGACCCTGGCAGGGCCATATCTATTAGAATGATGGAACTGGAGACATGAGTTTAGATTTTATCATAAGAATAATGGAAACCTACTGGGAGAGTTTAAGTAAAGTGACAGGATATGTTTTTTTGTGGATTACGGACTGAAAAAAACAAGGTCAGAAGCCAGAACATCTCTTTAGATGTGACTGAAGCAGTTATGATTGTTCAGAAGGGACCTGGTGGTAGCCTTGACCAGAACAAATGGAGAGAGATTCTGGGAAAGAGACTGTTCCAGCAGCCATGTGAGGCCCTGAAGGCACCACCTAACTGTTAAAGTTGAGCCTGGTGTGGTGTGGTGTGGTGGTGGTGGTGGTGGTGGTGGTGGTGGTGGTGGTGGTGGTGGTGTGTGTGTGTGTGTGTAATAGAGGGGATGTGACAAAGAACCCACCACATTTTCTTGATGTTGGTGTGCCCTCTGGTGGCTGGGTTCCTTGTCTATGCCTTAAGGAACAGATAGCTTAATGCTGCAGATGCTGAAGCTCAGTTGGGGCCAGGATGGGGTGGCAGTCTGTAAGAGAGTCAGGGGCTGGCAAGGGACAGACACAAAGGGAAGCTGTGGGAGGCACTGGGGGCTTTTGTTTTCTATAGAAAGTCACCAATACAAAAGAAATTTGATGACCATGGATGAATGTGGCAAATTATTATTGGTGGATATTTTTAGAGCAAAACAAAACCATTTCAATTTAAACATTTGTAAATTAGGAGCAGAGAACATCAGGTTGTACTGAATAAACACAGCACATAATAAAAAACGTACTTCAGTTCCTACACTACAGTCAGTTACAGGAGAGAGGCGGGGGTGGCGGCCAGCAACAGGCAGCAGAGAGTCACGATCTTGCTGAGAGAACAGAGGAGAGGGGGTGGATAGGGCTTGGTCAGAAATAGACACTGTCTGACTAGGCTGACGTCCAAAGACTCACCGGATGTCTGCAGTGTGTCCAAACAGACGCAAAAACACAAATAACAATTCTCTCTCTCTCTCTCTCTCTCTCTCTCTCTCTCTCTCTCTCTCTCTCTCACACACACACACACACACACACACACACACACACACACACGATTAAGAGAACATAGAATTTGAAGCACAGCATAAAGTGGTGGATGATTAAATACAAGGATGTCTGGGGAAAGAGAAGCTGAGCCCTAAAGTCTGTACCTTAAACCCGGTGAAGCAGAGGGGCACCATGCTTTGCTAAACCAAGCAGCTGTGAGGCTTGATTAAAGCTGAACCAGACTCCATAAAGAAACTCACTTTCTTGCTGATAAGAAAGAAAGCATTTTCAGTACAGCTATCCACCTGTTTCTGGCACCAGTGATGATCTGAGCTTATAAGAATAACAACTGTAGGTTCCAGCGCTTGGTAAAAAATGAACTTAGTGCATCCTTAGCAACAAGCATCATGGCAAGCAGCTGCCTAGGGCTCCAGGGGCTCCTCCTCATCTTGGCTGCATCTCTCTTAAGCTGGAGAACTTAGAGTCTTTTTCCAGCACAATACCAAAATTGAGAAGCCAAGTACACACAAAGTAGTGACCCTTCACCAGTGTCATCTCCCTACTGTCCCCCCATGGGCCCAGGACCTGAGTCTGTGTGATATCCCTCCAGGTAAGACTTCCTCCAGCTAAGGTTTCCTGCTATAGGCCAAGGAATGAGCCAAGAAACTGCATTAAATTTAAAAGAAATACAGTTAAAAGAATTAAAATTCATACATTGAAAAACACAGTCAGAAGAGTGAAAAGACAACTTGAGGGAAAGAAAACACATATTTGCAAATGTGGTAAAGAAATAATATCTATAATATATAAATGGGACTTACAGTTTGATGCCTCAAAAGTGGCCAAAGAATTTGAAAGAATATTTTTCCAAAGAAGACATCCAAATGGCCAGCAAACATGTGAAAAAACTGCACAGAATCATAACTCATAAGAGAAAGGCAAGCCACACTAAAATAAAGAACTGTCTCACGCCCAGTAGAAGGGCTCATATCCAAAACCTGAAAATAAATGTTGGTGAGGATGTGGGAAAATTGGAAAACTGAACAAGTGTGGCAGTTCCTAAAAATGAAAGAAACCACAGAACCCAATAATTTCTCTTCTAGACATGTGTGTCGCCAAAGGAACTAAAAACAAGATCGCAGAGAAATTTGCATATCCATATTCCCAGCACTATTTCAATTGCCAAATTACGGACAGAAACTGCATACTCATCAGCTGGATGAATAAATAAAATGTGTCATATCTATACACTGGAATATTATTTGGTCTTTGTAAAGGAAGGAAAATATGACATGAGATGTAACATGAAGAGGCCTGCTTGTTGGGATTTATGTCCTGCCCAGTTCCCCACAGTCAGCAAGCCCTAAAGAAAATCACACAGAGATCTCCATAAGTTATAAAACTAATTGGCCCATTAGCTCAGGCTGCTTATTAGCTCTTGTAGCTTATATTAACCCATTATTCTTATCTATGTTAGCCACACAGTTCAGTACCTTTCTCAGTGGGGCAGCTCACATTTAGCTTCTTCAGTGATCTGGGCAGAACTGCGGAGGGAGCTTCCTGCTTCCCAGAATACTCCTGTCTTCATTGCCCCGCCTCTACTTCCTGTCTGGTTGACCTACCTATACTTCCTGCATGGCCAATCAGCGTTTATTTGAAACATGATTGATAGAATACAGACAATTCTCCCACACCACTTCTCACTCTTTTTTTTTAAACAAAGGAAAATATCCATAGTCCATTTGTTGGAAATGTGGGCGTAGTATCCCAGGCTACTTCAGACTGGTTGGGGGCACTGATAATCTTATGGGGACCTAAAGAAAATTTAGAATTATCATCAAGTCCTGACTGGAGTATCCTGTGAGTTCTGACCATCTCAGGCAGCAGTCTTGAATCTGTACTGGATGTAGAATTTAGACATCCAGGCCATCTGTTCCTACCGGAGATTTTTTAGGTAGTCTTCCTTGATCAAACCTGATTTTTCTTAGCTCAGAATGAATCCACAGCCTCTCATTTCCTGTGGAAACAAAAGCAAATCCTCTTCTCCAAAGTAACATACCTTTTGACTTCAATTTTGATACCAAGGTATTTTCAAAATACCTATCTTGGATTAGTTCAGCAGCATTTATAAGCAATTATCTTTTAGCAGCTGTTGCTCCTTCCTCAGTATTCAAACAATTCAAAGAGAGTATAATAGCATACAGTATCAAGATTCTCTGTATATTTTCCATCTTTATGTGGTTTTACTTTAACCTATATTTCTTTTATTTTTACTTTTAACTTTTGGCTTTTTGAGACAGGTTCTCTGTGTATCTTTGTCCTGGAATTCCCTCTGTAGACCAGGCTATCCTTGAACTCACAGAGATCCATCTGTCTCTGCCTCCCCAATGCTGGGATTAAAGGTATCTGCCACCACACCCTGAATTTACAGAGATCTGTCTGCCTCTGCCTCCCAAGCTTTGGGATTAAAGGCGTGTGCTACCACAATTTAAACTCACAGAGATCTGTCTGCCTCCACCTTCCAGGCATTGGGGTTAAAAGGTGTGTACCACCACACCCAACTACTTTCTTTCTTTCTTTCTTCCTTCCTTCCTTCCTTCCTTTCTTCCTTCCTTCCTTTCTTTCTTCCTTCCTTCCTTTCTTTCCTTTTTTAAGTTGGGCGTATTCTTTAATGAGATATAACATGGATGTATTTTAATGATACTATTTGATAAACTGACACGGAACAAATGCTACAGGATCCTATCTATGTGCCCTTTGTAAAAAATTAAATGAGTGTTGTCATGAAGCTGGTGGGGTGGAATAAGGAGTTGCTTAATGCATACTAAGTTTCTCAATGTGGAAAGGGTTTGATGATTGATTTTACACAATGGTTAAGATGTTAATTTTTACATATCTTTTCCTATGGTGAGTGGATGAGTGAATGAATGTAGGAGAGAATGTTCATGTCCGAATATGAAACTGGGGTCTGTATGTAGATGGTACCCAGTAGCCAGCACTTATTTCTGCAACTCCGGATCATTTGGCAACACCCAATCAGATGCATACCTTATCCTTCAGAATCAGTGTCAGTATGTGACTGCTTGCAGGTGGAAGCATAGTGACTTTCAGTCACTTCTGTTTCTTCTTTTCCACACTCATTCACTTGCACATTTCCTTACTCTCTAGGTGGATAAACATTGAATGCCTCCTCTGTGGAAGACATGTCACCAAGACTGCAGCCAAAACAGTAACCTTCTCTTCAAGGAGCCCACAGTCTGTCAAAACTGACCCAGGAAAAAGAGTGCTCTGAGAAGCATAGAAACCTAGAGAAGGTGTGACTGCCTAATTAGAATGGGGGTGGAGGTGAGAGGATCTTCTCCAAGATTCTGGTTCTAAAGGCCAGTAAGGCTCAGGAGGGTAGAGGAGGATGCTCACATATATGCCAGGAAAACTCTTGAGAGAAGAGAAATGTGAGGAAAGAAAGAATTGAGCAATAACCACAAGTACCTGAAAGGAATTTATTAACTTCTAAGTGCCTCTAATTCACAGTATCTCACCCAGTACTATAGACTTCACAAACTCTTCAGAACTTGTGTGCATAAAGAGGTGGTGCTCAAAGCTGCCAGCCACCTCTTTCTCACAGTGACATTGTCTGATAAGGAGGTATGACTCTCAGCAAGCACACTCAAGCCCACCTTACCATTCCCTCACAGACCTTGCATGCCTTGGAAAACAGCGTGCAGGGGCCCAGTGTCTGCAGTCGCTTCTTAAATGCATACACATGCGTGAAAACATACTGTTTAGAGCACATGTTAGAAAAGTATGGAGCAGAATGCAGTAGGGAGTGGAGATATATATATATATATATAGATATATATATATATATATCTATATATATATCTATATATATATATATATGCCAAAAGCAGGAGTCGCAGGAGTCAGGCATTGTGGTGCACACCGTTCTTCAGAGAACACTGTTCAGACTTCTGGTCCCCAGAAATCCCCCTGAAGGACAGTTCAGTTGTTCCCTGGTTCCTTTACAGACTTGGGCAGTAAGCACCTGGAAATCCAACCCACAAAACCTACACTGTCCACAAGCTTGACCATTTGCTGGACTTGGAGGGAGACTCCAAGACATTGTAGCCAAAACCTTAAGCCCTAGCAAGGCTTTGTGGGAGAGCTCAGAGAGACATGAGGACAGGTGTTTGTAAACGTGGAGTTCTATACAGGACTTCTAGCTTGGGGTCAAAGCAAGGCTGGCTAGGCATCTCTGGCTATTCATCAGCAGCTGCCTCAGGGGTATTTATTCCATCTGATAGGTAATCATCCTCATGGTTCTGTTTCATCTTGATCTCCAGCACTGTGATGCGTTGCTTGAGCTTCTGCTGGGCCCCAGTGTACTCAGCCAGCAGGCGGGCAAAGCGAGTGTACAAGGTCTCCATGTTTGTCTCCAGTTGCTCCAACTTCTCCTGAACATCTACCTCCATGCTGGCAGCCACCTCATTCTCATCCAGCAGACCTTCCTTCATCAGGATCTCCCGACCCCTCTCCTCAAGGACTTTCTTGGCATCAGGGTACTCAGTCACAGCTTCCATGAGATCATCCTTAGACAAGCAGAAGAGATCTGAGTAGCCCAGGCTACGGATATTGGCAGTGCGCCGATTGCCCATTTTGCTGCCCTTAATGTTAAGGATGCTAATCTCTCCAAAGCAGCTCCCAGCTGAGAGCAAGGCATACTGAGTCACACCATCATCGGCTACTACTGCTAGCTTGCCCTCCTTGATGATGTACATTTCCTTGCCAATGTCCCCCTTACGGCAAATATAATCCCCAGGACTGAAGACCTGAGGACGAAGCTTCAGTACCAGTTCCACCAGCAGGCCAGCCTCACAATCCTGAAATATGCGTACTTTCTTCAGGGTGGACAAATGGACATTAATGGCTATCTCAGCCCTGAGCTTTGCTGGCAGGTTTTTGAGGACTTCTCGTTCATCTACTGTCTTCTTATTGGTCCACAAGTAGTCAAACCATTTGATGACCTTAGCTTCCATTTCTTTGCTGACCTTTCGGAACTGCATGTAGTGTTTGACAGCATCAATCTTGGCCTGGAACTCTGCTCGTGTGGCATTCATGTTGGAGATCATGGAGCCCACATTTCCCACAATAGTGGCAAAGATGAGGACACCGATCAGGAAGTCAAAGATGACAAAGAGGTACTCTTCATCCTTTACAGGGGGTGGTGTCTCTCCAATGGTGGTGAGGGTCAGTGTTGACCAGTAAAGGCAGTAAATGTACTCCCTAGCCAGGTAGCCATACTCAGGGTCAGTAATGTTGGGGTATACCCAGGTGTCAACCCCAAAGCCGATGGATTTAGAGATGGCATAGTAAATGCAGGCATTCCAATGGATGATGACCAAGATGTAGAGGACCAGATTGCTGATTCGAAAGATGTTGGGGTAGCTGGTGCGTGTCTCAGTGCGGTCAAAGAACTCAAACATACGGGCAAAGTGCAACAGACGGTTGAAGCGCACCTCAGGGCTGTGGATGCCCACAGCAAAATAGATGAGGTCAGTGGGGATGATGGAAGCCACGTCGAGTTTGAACTGCAAGGTGTGGATATAGTTGTCACGCAATTTCTTGGGGTCTTTGACCAGGAGTCCCTGTTCCAGGAAGCCTGATAGAAATACAAAACAAGATGTCACTTCTGTCCTCAGTCCAGTGTCTCCCTAGAAGATAATTCTCAACAGGGAACAAACTACTGGTTAGCTTTCCTTCCCACAGAGGACTATAGACCACATAGGGAGACTGGTCAGAAGAACCCTAAGAAACCACTCTCAGACATAAACCTCTGTAAGAGTATCCTAGCAGAGGTCCACTGAGGAGATGGGCTTCGATACCATGTTCAGTCAGTTTCTTCAAATTTTGCCTTCAGTTCTTTGGATTTAGGAGTTCAAATGCTGCTGTGCACTCACCTGTGCGCAGTCGGATGAAGACGTCTGCAATGTAGACAGTGTCTGAGAAGTAGTCCAGCACCAGCCACACCACAAAATAGTTTCTCTGGAGATCACTGAAGCAGGCTCTGTAAGGGGACACAGTTGGGCTTCACCAACAAAGCCTTAGTGGCTCTAAGCCATATACACACTTCTGCAGGGAGAGCTTCACATGGCCACCAGGGACACCAGTGAGTCACACGTCACTTGGTAACAATGACTAGTGACTTCTACTTCAACCCTTATTACTAAATAAGCATTGCTGCATGTGCATCACCATTGATCATTAATAGTCTTCCTCATTCCATGGACTGTGAGCTCCAGAAACAAGACACATCTTAGTCATGACTATATGCCAAATCGCCGGTCCAGGGCCCCAGATCTGCACATCATCAGTGGTTTAAATTGAATGAATAAATAAATAAGGCATTAGAAGAATAGCTGACTGGCTTCTGTATTCATTACTTCAACGGATTCTTATTGAACACATCATCGAACCCTGGCAGGATGAGAATATAGATAGTAGTGGGGTTTAAACTAGAGGTGCTGAAACTAGAGAAAGATTGGTGGTTACAGGAGCTTTGGAGGAAGAAATCAGCAAGATTTTGAAAATAAATTAGGAGAACCTAGGGAAAGGCTTAGGGAGGGGACAGAGGAAGGGAAAATCTGATTATGTACTAGTCCAAGGGAAGAATGGTCATGTTTAGAATCAAACTCCCATACAATGTGCAGAACAAAGTAGACCACAGCCTTCAGCCATACTGGGCCATCAAGAGATTAGGGAGCCTTGCTCAAGTTATTCCTTCTGTCCAGAATGTCCTCTCTGCCAATCTCATGTATTTGAACTAATTACTACCTCCCACCAAGATCTCAACTAAGGTCTCTGTCAAGCCCGTTATGATGGCCTATTTCTCTAGCAACTTGCTACCTTCAGTCCCTGGTAATATCTTGCTCATTTCTTTTGTTGCATGTTTATATTCGGTCTAGCTGAGAACACTGGGGAAAAAAGCAGTGATTATGTCTGTCCTGTTTTCCATTGTACACCTAACACAGAGCACAAAACCCAATTAGTATGCAGGTAATTCTTCCTGCGCGAATGACTGGCATAGGGTAGTATTATGTGAATTGCTGTCAGGAAAAGAGAGGACTACGTTCGGTGGACCTTGAAGGTCAACCTTAGAGTTTTATCATGAGAAAAATGGGGAGCCATGAAATGGTTTTGGAAGAGAGAGTAGTATAACCCAATCTCAGTCTCTATATAGAGTATTAGTTGCAAGTGTGGAAGACGTACTTGAGGGATCAAGTGTACCTCCAAGGCATAGCGGGGACTACTGTAGCTTTCCCATTTCCCAGAGAGACAAGGGAGGAGGATGGCCTAACCAAGGACAATACTGATGTACATGAAAAAGCAGCTGAAGATTATAGGAAAGGAGCGGGAAAACGTGAAGACTTGATGGCATTTTGAATTGTGGGAGCACTGACAACAGAGTGGCGAAAAAAGAATTCAGCAATGAGAGAATTCAGAAAGAACATTCGACTGTTACATACTCTTTGTCCAGAGTTGAGATTGTTGTGTGATCTTAATTCCGTTTGCTGTGGACTCTGCTTCTGTAATAAATCCCACCTAGACCCCTCCATGCTCACCTGGCCACCAGCAGGCACCAGTTGTAAAGAACAGGCATGGCAATGACAAACAACCAGCGGTAATACCAGTCTCCAGCTGGGTCCAAGACAAACAGCTCAAACTTCTTCCTGTAGAAACAAACAGTGGTTACTAGAGTTCTAGGGCTCCAGGTCTCAGAACCCCAAATTCTCAAAAGTATTAATGCTCCCAAGGTCCAGTTGAAGAGCAGAAGGAGGGAGAAGACGAGCAAGGAAGTCAGGACCTCGAGGGGTTGGTCCACCAACTGAGGCAGTGTGCCTGTTCTAATGGGAGCTCACCAAATCCAGCTGGACCAGGTCTGAACCAGCATGTTATCAAACCGGACTATCTGATTGTGGCTGACAATGGGGGCTGACTGAAAAGCCATTGATAAAGGCACTGGGATTTGTTTCTACTGCATGTTCTGGCTTTTTCGGACCCTAGTCTACATGGATGCACAGCTCCCTAGGCCTGGATGTAGTGGGGAGGGCCTTGAACTTCCCACAGGCCAGGGTTCCCTGCCCTTTCTAAAGCAGGGAGGGAGAGGGAGGAGGGGGTGTGGGGGAACGGGAGGGGATTGGGAGGAGGGAAGGAAGTGTAAATATTTGAATGGAAAAATAAAAATAAATAAATAAATAAATAAAAAGAATTAATGAATTAAAGGATTGTGGGTTGAGGTGTAAGCTGTCTTCTGGTTTCCTTTTTCAGTGACCCACAGCCAAATAGCAGGACTCCATTCTGACCAAGAGCAGGCCTCTTGGTAAAAGAGCTTTAAGCCTGTCCTCACAGTCACTTTGGGGAGAGAGAGAAACTCCAGGCGAGTGTATGAGCTCCGTCCTCATACTCCCTCTCCATTCTTCAGACATCAGTCTCCAAACCACTTTCCCAGATGCTGCAGCTAACTTGGCAAGAGTCTTTTCCCTCTGCTGACAAGATGTGGAGGATGCCAATCTGGCCAGACATCCACTAGCTTCTACTTATTCTTCAAACATCAGCCCCTCCAATTATTCTGTTTTACTTTCCCTCTCTGTCCCTCCTCTTCTGTTTAATATCTAGGTCTCATGCGCCGACTCCCACATAAGCCCCTTCAGAAACCTGTTTTCTTGAGCATGGTGAAGCTGGAATGGGCAAGGTTTCAACAGTACTGTAACTAAAACCTCCCTTCCTGATCCTCACATACTGACTGCTGGAGCTAGGGCTGAGGTGGTATGCCCTTGGATGAGTTCCTCTTCTGTCAAAATCCACTCCATGGGCAGCAAGAGAATGTATAAAGGGGTACTGCTATGGTATGCAAAATAAACTCCAGTTTCCCATGGAAAGATTACTACTGTTTGAGAGGCCCTGGGTGAGGACAATGGGAATGTTTTGAGTAAAAAGAAGCATAGGGGGTAATCGCTACCCGTTCTTTATCTGCTATCACAGAACTTGGCACAGCCCTAGCACCACCCCTGATAATGGTTAGCATCCCCACTGAGATCTCCCATGGCAAGTATGGGAACTTTTGGAGTTCCCAGAGACTGGATAGATATACTTGGTGCCCTTTCCATCGCCGTCCTTGTCGCCTTGGCCATCCCCCTGATGTGTTGTCACAGTCTGGAGCTCAGGCCCACGGAAACGCTCTAGGAATGAATCAGGCCTTGGTTCCTCCTCACGGAAATTCTTGTTGGCCCAGTCTCTGATGACCCCCACCAGGCGGACAATCCTAGAAGGGAAAAAGAAGAAGTGTGTGCCAAAGAAATGACCTGTGCTATTTAGACAAGACCTGTCCAACTGCCTGTTGAGGGAGAGGAGAGAAGAAAAAAAGCTGGAAATAGACCAGGCCATGATTTCCTGTATGCTAAGATCTGGAAAGACACAATTGTTGGGGCTCAGGCATTATCTGAAGTACATCCTGTGGGGGAGGATAGCCCTCCAAAGATTTCCTGTGTCAGGGGACTTTACAGTTCACTGTGAAACACAAACAGGAGGTCTTCAAGGCAAGATTGAGACTATAAAGAGTCAGGACAGGTGAATATGAAAACAGCCCCAGGCTTCCTTATTTCTCTATGAGGTTTATGATCTTGAGACCGTATATATAGGCCCTTTTGCCATAAAGAATCCCCTTTTCCCAGGGCTGAGGCAGCCAAATATGAAGGGAAGTCTACTCCCAGGTTGCCTCACAAGAACCTCTAGAGCCGTGGGATAAAACCTCGGCACTGGAATTTCTATTTCTAAACGCTCTCTGGGTAATTCTAAGTCAGTGGTTCTCAACCTTCCTAACACTGCGACCCTTTAATACAGTTTCTCATGTGGTCTTGGGTGAAAGGGTCATTTCACCCTCCCCCAAAAGGAATCGCAACGTTTTGAGAACCCCACTACTCCAGAGTCTTATAAAAAGGCCCAGTGCAGCTGAGAGGAGGGTCATAGTAACCATTCACAGGCCCCAAGTATAGAAGGGGTAGCTGAAGTGGAGAACTCACCTTCGGAAACCACCCCTTCCCCTCCGTGGGGTATCCATCTCTGCCAGCCTTTGCAGTTCTGAGGAAGTGTCATCATCAACCGCCACAGACTGTGGTCTGCATAGAAAGAAAGAGAGTTGATCCAGATTCTCTCAGCATAAGTTGTTTTTCTCTTAGGACATGCCTAAACATCTCACAGTCCCCTTAGAAGATATCCTAGAGCAAATGGGGCCTGCTCTATAAGTGTAAGTCAAAGCTCCAAGGAGATAGTGTAGACTCTGACTTATTGATGAAATCACCCAGGCTGAGCTGAGAGTGCACCTCAGGGGGTAGAGTGCCTTCCTTGTAGGTACAAGGCCCTGACGTTCTTCACTAATTCTGGCAAAAGAAAGAGGGCGGGGTAGGAAATGAGAAGGAGGAAAGAAGAAAGAAGATAAGAAAAGCAAAACTCACCCAAGTTCAGTGTACTCACCTGCTACCTGTCCTGTGGTCATCTTTGCCATTGGCCTTAATGGAAGGCGGAGGGTGATGGTTGTGGTTTTTAGCTGGAGAGTTCTTCACACCATTGGGCTTTTCGGTCATCCTCCATGTACATTCAGGGCTCTCACCTGACAAGGCAATAACCAGTGAACTCTATTATCCATAGAGAGCAGGACAGCTAGAGGGAACATGGTGACCCTAGTAGTTCATGCATCAAAAAATTCTCTAGGGTAAAGGTAAGAAAACTATATTGTATAGTTTATCACTGTTTAGATTATAAATAACACACCAGAGTAAGGAAGTATAATCACTTTCTTGGACCTTATGGGCCTGGCACTGAAGCTAATGCTGATTCTGATGGCTTCAGATTGCTATAGCAGTCGTTATTAGTGGGGGGGGGGTCGTGAGGTTCATTCAGACATGAAAGAGATGCGCAGAAGAAGACATATTCACAAGATAGACTGAGAAAGAGAAGCTGAGCAAGAAGCTTGTGTACTACAGTATCTCTCACCACAGTTGGGAAGACCCTCACAGTAGCTTTTCTCTTCTAAGGCTGATCCGTGTGCCCCACTAGATGTGGGTAGAAATTGTCAACATGTCTCGATTTCTCATAACTTCTTCTGCTGGACTCACAGCTACCTCTGACTCCACATCACTGCTGTGAATTCTCAGACCCAAGAGAGTTATGTAATTAAAGACTCCTGTGATGCAAACTGGGAGTGGCCTTTTCTTCGTGCTTGGATGTCTCAGCAGTGGGAGAGATGAAATATCTTTCACAGCAGAGAAGCCTACATATAGGATCCCAAAATTGTCGTCACAGAGCCAAAACTCCATTTGGAAATCAGGTAGTGTGAGGTAACCTTTATGCTGGCCTCATATGACTAAACACAACCTCCGTCTTGCCCTGAATATCTTCCTGTTGTTACACAGGAAATCTTGTGAGGACATCCACCCCCACAGCATGCCTGAACCCCAGCACTTGCCCTCAATGCTGACCTCTTTCCAGCTTCTTTCACTTCTTCCAGCATCTGAAGCTGTCACCATGGTGACGGCAGGCACGTCAAGCAGCCTCAGAGATGCTCTCCTGGTGCTCTCTGTGGGACTATAGCATCAGGATGCTAATGAGGACACCTGAGGGAACCAGCATCCACAAGTACTTGCTTGAACCCTGGAGGCAGTAGACCATGGAGACAGAAAGTTCCAGGCAATGCAAACAAATCCAAGGCCACTCACACTGATCAGTTTCAAGGCTGGTGGTGTTGAAGTGCAAGCTTTCAGATCAGGAGAGTACATGTGTTCACTCTCTATGCTTCTGACATTAAAAAGGTTTCCTCCCCTGTGACCCCCTGCATTGTATCTACCAGGAACAGGCCCTTCTATTTTTTTCTGATTCTCTTGTGACATCACTCAATCACACATACCCTTTCATCAGAAAAGTCCACTTAATGGAGCAAGGACAGACAGCTAACCATTGCTACAGCTCACCCAGTCAGCCAAGTGGTTCTCGCAGGCACACTCTGCACACACCTCACCTGCTCCCAAGGCATTTGTTACCAACGGGTTCCTAATCAGTTTCTGCACACATATCTATTGCCTATTAACCAGTTCCTTTGAGCCACCTCCGACCCTCAAATCCCACATAACAAAAACTACATTTGAGATAGCCACTTAGAAATTAGCCACCTTTTCATTTTGCCAGTCTCCTAACACAGATTTCTTTCTGTCAAGTCACTCAAGCCCAAACCCTGGATTTCACCACAATTGTTTGCTTCCTTGATCATATCCATGCAGCATCACTCAAGAGCTAATCCATCCCCCTTCAAATTATTAAGCGTCTCTCTTTCAATCACCCTCTACCAATGCTGCAGTCTCATTGAGGCTCCCAAAGCCTGTTGCAACAGACTCTTTCTGATCGGCACACCCTGGAGTCTGGTCTGGACATTGTCAAAGTTTAACTAAAAAGAAAATTAATTTCTCTTGGGGACAAATGCACTCTCGTATCATGAATAGACAAGGATGGAGGATAAAAGCAGAATTTGGAAACCCCACAGCTGTTAAAATAGTCCAAGTAGTTAACCAAAGTGAAGACAAAGATGTGAACAGGCAGAAGGCTTGAAAAAGCACAAAAAGAGAGTTCCTAAAGAAGACAGATGCCTCAAGGCCAATGCCCAGTCTTAATAGGGAGTCAATGCTTCTATCCCCCAAGATGAGAGGTGGAATAGATGCTGGAGAGAACAATAAGTTCCTTTGTGGGAGAAGAGTAAAAAAAGCATAAATGAATTATCTCTCAGGAGGTGAGGAAGAGTAGGAGTTTGAGGGACAAGAGATAGAGCTGTAACTGACTCTTCAATCTTGGCTCAGAAAGGGCAGAAATATAGTAGAAACAAAGGGAAGATATAGGGCTGAGAAAGGTTGGTTCTCTTTGTGTAGCTATTGTTAATTTTTACTTTTGTGTTGCCATTAGGTTTTTTTGTTGTTGTTTGCTTATTTGTCTTTTGGATTTTAGGGAGATTTGTTGTTTCAGGTTTTTTTTTTTTTACATCAAAGAGATAACAAAGCAAGCTTGGCAGTTTTGAGAAGGGATTCAATTAGAAAATTTATTTTTGTGCTTGAGACCAGTTCCACTAGAGTAGAGCCCATGAATGGTGGATATAATATGTGGAGGATACCAGATGAAATGAGATGAAATTTATCAGATGCATCAGGAAGGGTTGTTGAAGAAAGTCAAGAATGAAAGTACTAATTTTGATGGGAGTAGGAATATAGTGAGCATCGGTTGAAAGGGTTCACTTCTGCAAAACTCTAATATTATATGTGAAGAGGGAGGTGATTCCACCTTCAGAACTATCAGTCTATCTTGTGTGCAAACTTTGGAGGAGGCAAGATTTGCAGTAGGAATGAGTAGGAGAATCCAAAGTACTTTAGATACAAACCCAGCAAGACAACAGACTACAGAGTTGCCAGTGAGAAAAGAGGTGGACCAGAAAGCTTAGGTGGGGTGGAATATCCAAGCAAAGTGCCTTTCAAACCTGGAGTAAGGCATGCTAATCAATTTTCTAAAGAGCCCAATTTCAATCATGAGGACCTTCTGGGCCTGTTCTCATCCATTAGCTCACTCTCCGAGTAACCAGGATTATATGGATAATCAGCCTGACAAAATGAATCCCCAGGCTGGCACAATGAATCCCATGAACCTTGGCTGAAAATATTTTTCAGAGTTTCTTCAGAGTATGCATAGTGATGTGAAAGTCAGAAAGCCTAGAAGTTCTGCTCCATAGCGCACTAAAATGATCGCTGCTGTTTAATTTTATTCACTCGTCTGTCACACACCAGTCACCCACTGGGAGCCAGTCCCTGGGCTGGGTGCTAAAGCTAGAGACGGTAGTTTAGCAGTGTCTACAGGAACCTCAGGATTAGTGTCAGACCTAAGGAGACTCATCCCTTCACTGGAGCATTTATTTTTCTATCATTTCCTCCCCAGAGTGGTAGCTTTTAATGCATCTAAATGCCAGAAATTTCAAAACCTCTAACAGCCAGCAGCTCAAAACTCTTCTCTGGAACTCAGTTTGACCCCCTGACATGAGCATTTTGATGTGGAATAGACGCCTCAGGATTAACATGACCAGAATTAAGGCCTTGATCTTCCCCTCCAGACACTATCCTCTCATACTCAACTGCATCTCAGAAAAGGCAAAACCATACTTCTAGCAACTTGGTCCAAAGCCTTTGTGTTTGAGTCATTTCTTTCACTTCTGTACCACTACACATTCAAAGCATGCAGGCTCTACATTCAAAATATCACAAGCTCAATATCTCTATCACAGTTAAATTAATCAAAGTTTGGCACTGTAGATAATAAATGAGCTTTCAATGGGTAGTTGATTAACTGTCCCTTCATTCCTTCACTTTTTCTAAGCTTCCTCTCCCCCTTTCACTATTCACCTTATGCTCCTTTTACATTATATAGGTTAATTTAAAGGAATATACAACATTATTTATTGGTTACAATGGAGTAACAAAGACCAATATATTCTCCAGAATGCAATAATCATGCTTAGGGAGAAAAGATATGAAACAACATTTCCCAAGACTTTAAACATTAAGTAACAAAGAGCAGAAATTCTTAGGCAGAAGGAAATAAATAAAGGAAGCCTTGTGATCAACCCTCATTTTTCTTGTCATCTTTTCAGGCCATAATGTAGAGGGAGAAATGAAAGTGGACCTTAATGGATTCCCTGGATTGAGGAGAAAGCAGAGACCCCAAAGAGACCAGAGCATCAAAGGTGTGCAGAGCAGAGTATTGGGAGAGGAGTGAACCTCAAAAAGAGAATTACAGAGGGATTCAGAAAGACAGAGACAAGGAGACACAGAAAGGTCATATAGGCAAGATTGGGGAACCTAAAAGTGGACCCTATCACATATTCAACTTAGTACATATACCATCCTCCTAAATTCAGTATTACAGATCTCAGTCTTCAGATAGGGTCTAATGCCACCTGTCAGGAACATCTGGTTGTTTGTGCAGTCTTGGTTAGACTACCCAGAAAAGTCTTGATCACCAGTAAGAATGAGTAGTTCCTACACTGAACAATGTTATGATCCTACTGAAAACTTGTAAAAGTATAACCCAAATGCATTAAATTCTTCCCAAGCAACCAAAATGCAATCCAGAAAAAAAGCCCCAAAATGTTATTAGAAATACAAAATTAGGCAAAAGAGTCAGAGATGGACCCTCTCCACTGTTAAGAATCTCACAAAACCATCAAGCTAAGGACCACAACATATATACAGAGAACATGATGCACACATGCAGGACTCATGTTTGCCACTTCAGCTTCTGTGAGCCCACATGATACTATACCTGCTTAGGAGATTCTGTGGGCCATGTTCTCTTGGTGTCATCCATCCCTTGTGACTCCTAATGCTTTTCCTCCCCCTCTTCAGTGGAGTTTCCTATCTCTGAGGGCAGGGACCCAAATGAGACCTTCAATTTAGACTTTCTCTTGCCATATTATCTGGCTGTGGGTCTCTGAGCTCGCTCCCATCTGCTGCCAGAGGAAGCCTCTCTGAGGACAACTGGGCAGGCACGGATGTATGAGTATAGCACGATATCATTAGGAAGCAATTC